CTCGGGAGCCCTGGGAGGTTGTCACAGACACATGAACCTGGACGCCAGCCTGGCCCTGGTTCAGGGCCTCCCCCTTCAGCAACACTGTGCGTCCATGGTGGGGGACATGGTGGCACAGGCCATACCTCAGAGAGCCAGTCTCCATGCTGCAGACCCCTGTGTCAGAAACAGTTCTCAAGTCACCGGGAAAGCTGCCCTGGGCACCCAGAAGCTGGCCCTAACCCCGCTGGGACTTCCGCGGCTTTTCATCTCCTTAGCCTCACCCAGGGGTTCAAAGAGAACTTTCCCCATCAGGGGGCTGAGAAAGTTGGAGCCTGATAAACGCATCCCGCCTGCTTGAGGTTCACTGTCTCTGGGCAGCTGATGTTGATTGGCAGGGATGCTTGTCAGTAGATACCAGTCACACTCTGAGTGGTCCAAAACAATGGTTAGTTTGTACGTTTGTTTGTGTTTTGAGACAGTCTCCCTATGTAGACCAGGTTGACCTCAAACTTGCAGTAATTGTCCTGCCTCAGCCTCCTAGTGTGCTGGGATTACAGACACCTGGGCAACAAAGGCTAATGCACTACAGAATGACAAGTTGGGGAGTACTCTGGGGAGTACTCCTTGCCTCTCCCCAACTCCCAGTGGTCTGTGGCCATCTTTGGCTACACCACCCCAACCGTGCGGTCACGTAACCATCTTCTCTCAAGGTCACCACTGCCTGGGGTTGGGGCCCACTCCCCACAGCACACCCTCATCTTCACCAATCCCCATTGCAAGGATGCTATTCCAACTAAAGTCACAGGGGTTGGGGATGTAGCTCAGCCGCATAAGTGCCTGCCTGGCAAGCACGAGGTCCTGAGTTCAATTCTCAGTACCAAAAATGAAGTCACATTCAGAGGAGGTGGGTTCTGCTTCAGTGCATTGTGTTTCACTGAGAGCAAAGTTCAGCCTGAGCAAATGTGTCCACTGCCACCCCAAGGGCAGAAAGGGTGAAGGAAGATGAGCTTCCCCCTCTCTCAGGGTCAGTGAGTAACAAGGCTCCAGGTCACAGGGGTGCAGCCACTTGCAGCTGCCCATGGCTGGAGGCCTGGGCCCCAGGAAGAAGCTGGGCGTGCGAAGGATTGAGAAGTGTCTTCCTGTGGCAGTTGTACCCACATCCTTGAAACTCAGGTGAAATCTTGCTGAGGGCCCCTGCCTGGTCCTAGTTTGTGCAGAGAAGGGAAGATGGGGCGTGGCCCGCGTCTGTGAAGGAAGAGTCCGTGGTGGGTTCTGTTTCCCTGCAAAGCCAGCTGGTGACGGACTGGGTCATTGGTGGAAAGAGCTGCTCCCCAGACCACCAAGCTTCTGGCCACAGGTGGCACAACCTGGGGCTGGCTCCTGAGTGGGCTCTGGGAGCCCCTCAGAGCCCTGGGGATGCTCTGGGTGTTTACGGGTATGCACAAGGATCTGTTTCACACGTGCCCTCATAATCTGTGTGAGGTCAGGACCCCGTCACATGGGGCTAGGTAACCCCGGGGCTGGGGATGATCAGGGCACCTGGATGCTCACAGGACTCAGCCAACTGGTCAGGGAAGGTATGCAGGTCACCAGCATGGGGATGGAGACACACGGTGCTGTGGGGCACAGGGGATGGGCACCTACATGGAGAAAGCTTCCTGGAAGAGACTTCGGGTGAGCCATGGGGAGACTTCAGATCCAGGACCAGCATGCACTTCAGGGCCAAGGGAGGTCTCTAGGCTCATGGCTGCCTCCCCCCTGATTACTGCTCAGGAGTCCACGGGTAGCTCGAGGACTCCTGGGCACATGATGTCACCTGCTGCTGGGATCCTGCTCATGTGGGAGGAGACCTAGCGGCACGGTGCTGGCACTGCGGCTGAGATGTGGCAGTGAAGTCAGGGACCTGCATTAGCCACCCCCTCATCCGGCACTGGTGTGGGATGATAATGGGTACTGAGATGGTGAGCCCCACTCCCTTGCCTGGTCTCAGCAGACATGACTAATTGATTGCATCATTTCACCCTGAGTCAGCCCAAAGCGGTGGACAACCAACCATGATCTGTTAGTTGCTACCCTGGGGAAACCAACCTGCATTCTTGGACCAGACGCAGACAGGATCCGAAGGCTGGGGTGACTCTGAGTCAGAAGACTGGTGGGAGGGTAGCGGTCACAACACACACAGGAGTTCCAAGAGCAGCAAGGTAAAGGACAGGGCAGGGTGGCCAGGTTGGCCAGGCAGATGACTCAGCCCAGCAGGGTTTTAGTTAATGGAGCCCTTTTACCAAATGCGCCTGTTGCCAGATTGCGATGATTCACTCCCACTTCTCAGAGGCCGAAGCACAGGGCCGGGTAGGGAGGTGCACCACCTGGCAGACACTTGCTCTGAGCTGACGGCCTGGCCTGGGGACACATGGAGCATGGCTTCAGCTGCCCTGAAGTCTCATCCTGGACAGGGAAACCAAGGTGTCTGGCCACCGGCTAGAGGCTAGGGGTGGGGAGCTCAGATTTGTGAGCCTGATGGTTTCTGGGTGGTATAAATACTCCCACTGTAACACAGACTGCACCCCCTCGGGTATCACAGATGCCCACAACTATTGTCAGGGCCAAGAGGGCCAGCACCAGCTGCTGAGGCCAGACTTTCTTCTCCCCTTATCTCTCTCCTTCTCTTCCTTGCTTCCTTCTGCTCTTTTGGGGACTAAGCTTGCTTTCCATGAGCTCCAATGAAACCTCCCACATCCTTTGTAGATGGTAGGTTTTCCTTTTCCCCAGGTCCCCGAGCAGCTGGGGCGAAAGGCCATGCTTTCTGCCTGTTGATCTCAAGGCGAGGGTCTGAGAACCATCGCTGCCCCACTGAGCCTCGGCACAGCATGTTCTGGGACTGTGATTGGCTCCTGCTCCATGCCACAGGCCAAAGCCCAACACCCTGTCCACTTCGGGGGAGCGTCCCTCCCTGCCCAGCCTCTCCTTCCCCCCCTCCCTGCTTACAGCCCCTCCCTCTCCTGGGGCCCACACACCCTGCTGTGCAGTGGGGGGACCCTCAGGGTTGCTGGTGACGTGGCCTTTCTAGGCCTGGCTGGGGACCCAGAGAGGCTGGGGTGCCAGGGCTGCCCTCATGGGACTGGTAGTGCATTCAGGGCTCCGCCAGCCCCCGCACCCCCACTCTGGGCCAGAGAACCTGCAAACAACTACGACCATCATTCAGATGTGGGCATGGGGCTCAGGCAGGCCTTGGCTGCTATCTCAGGAGCCCGAGGCCAGGAGCCTACACCAGCCCCTGTCCACCTCGCTGCCTGGCCCTGCTGGCCCGGTGACTTTGCAGTGACCACTGCACCCTGTAGTGGAGACCGTGAGTGTCCAGCAGTGACACCCCGATGTTCCCAAGCCCTTTGCTCAGGAAACCTGCCTTGGCCCTGCTGATGACCAGGAAGAGCGAGAGTCGCCACCTAGTGGCTGGGCAGCGGCAGGACATGGCCTGATGGGCACCCAGGCATGAGCATGGGTTGGCTCCCTGGGGTGGAGATAGGGGGAAGGACCGAGGGGAAGCAGCCAGGCCTCAGCTTCAGGAAGGAGACTCATGGGACAGATTCTGATTCTTCAGGAGAAGCCTGTCATCCAAAGCTTTCTGTGACATTTGACTTTTTAATGCTGTCAATGTATAGACCTAGATATACAAAGAGTCCATCAAAAAAACTGTGCACAGTGCAGGAAAAGAAAAACGCCCGGAAGCTGATGGCCGCCACTCCGAGCCCCTTTTATAATTGTGGAGGCCAAAGAAAATCAATTTAGTATTAAAATATTTATAAAAACTTTTTTCCTTAAGTATGCATACATTTTCTGGTGGATTCTGTGTGTGTAAAGTTTTGGAGACAGGATCCCACTACGTAGTCCAGGCTGGCCTTGAACTCCCAGCAATCCTCTTGTGGCTCCACATCTCCCATCCATTTGGTGGCTCTGGTGCTGGGTCTAAGCCCTTGCACAGTCATGGAAGTCTCTTCCTTCCCTGATGAGCCCAGCTGCTGTTCTAGTCCACCTGCCCCACCCCGGAGCTGCACCCACCTGGGAAACACTCCTGGGCCCCTCCAGTGTGGGCTGTCTCACTGCACTGTCCTGCCACCCCGGGACCCACGCCCTTGCTGGGACCCTGCTGCAGAGCTCCTGCCACCCTGCCCACTTGCCCTGGCTCACTGTGCTTGCTCAGTGCCCCACTCCTAACTCGTGGTGGTCCCAAGGCTCCCCACACCTTGGCTCTCAGGCCCCCGCCCCCCACGCTGCCTCCTCTGCTTTGCTGGGACCCACAGCTGCCCCTCCCAGCCCAGCCCTCCTTGTACCCGGGATAGCTTCTCAGGAGGTTCCTTTCCTTAGATTCCCAGAGCCCCTCAGGGACCCAAATTCGTGGGTGCCATCACCCATCCAGCATGCCCCCCACTGCCAGTCCTGCACCCCTGGCCCATCTGACTGGGACTCAGCTCTCCTAATGAGCTACACACCATTGACCTCCAGTGGGACCTGGGTCTCTGGAGCGAAGGTGCTATCCCAGTGTGGCCTTGGTCTGCTATGAAGTCACTTGTTCCCAGCCTCACCGTGCCCACTGAGCAGCACAGGCACTGAGCTCAGAGCCCCATCATCCCTCCTCTGGGTTGGGCTCCCATCTGACTCTACCTAGAAGTCCAGGCTCTCGCTAAACAGAGTGAAGGTCCAGGGTGCAGTGTTTACCCAGAACAAGGCCAGAGGTCCAGCCACAGCCCTGCAAAATCTTGGCAGCCAGGACACCCCTGCTTCCCCCAAAGCCACACACACACACACACACACACACACACACACACACACACCACTGCTCCAACCTCCAGCTCCCAGGCCACCCTTGCCTGCTACCACCTTGGGGGCTTGGTGCCCCTGCTTCTCCACTCCCCACAAGGCTCAGTCCCCTCCTCCAGATGCTGTTCAGCACCACTGGCCAAAGGTTATATGACCTCTCATACGTTTAACACTCCGTTTTTGGAAACAAGCGATGGTGACGCTGACAGTGAGCATACATTTAATGCCACAGCACTGTACACTTACAAAGGTGACAATGAAAAACATTTTAGCCCCAAAAGCAGACAAAACTGCACAGCCTGCTGCTGGACCACGCTGTCCCCAGACACTGTGATTTACTCACCAGCTTCCCTCCTGCCCCTGCCCAATGCCAGCTCCAGGGGGGCAGAGCTCTGAGTGTCCCCACCCACACCGGCAGTAGCCCTCAGCACATGGACACCCAGGGTCTGCCGTGGCCCACACTGAGGGCCATCGGGAGCAGTCAGTGCTTTCCCAAAGTGGCCTCTGCTCCTTGCCACCATCAGCCACTCAAGAGCCGCTGACATTTTGGAAGGCGTTCTAAAAATGGCCCTGAAATACAACTTACTCCACACATGGGCCCTGTTGACCCTGCTGGACTGCAGTCCCCAGGGCAGCTTAACAGGGACACAGCAAAGGAATGACCATGGTAAGCCAAGTGGCACAGCCAGACATCCGGAGGGCTTCATCGCTCTGGGGACTCAGTGTCCTTGTTTGTAAACAGGGACAGTCCCACCCCTGGGGAATCGTGGCAAGTGGATGAGCCAGAATGGCAGTGCAAGGCCAGTGTGCTGAAGCTCAGGGCCTCAGCTGCCCCAGGAAGGCCGGCCTGCACCCTGCTCCTGCATCATCAGTACCTACCCTGAGTGCTAGGGTTCTTCCCGCCGCAACTCGGGGTGCAGAGAAACGCGTTTTCCAGATCTGCCTCCAGAGGGCGCCCCACCCCAGCGCTGAGCACCGCCACCTGCTCCCTTCCGTGAGGCTGAGACAGGCATTGCTTTGCAAATAAAGGGGATCCCAGGACCTTGCCCCATTCCAGCCAGGACACCCCACAATCAGCAGCCCTCATCTCACCCAGAGGATGCAATCACCCCAGCACCCAGGACATCTGCACCATGGTCAGAACTCCATACCTCCTGGTTCTGTCACCTACAGGGAACCCCAGGCTCAGAGACAAGCAGTGCATGGTGCAGTGCCTGCAGAGTGGGGGAGCTCAGAGATGGTCATCCAGGTACTCAGGCTGGCATCCTGGGCCCCTGCTCACAAGGCAGCAACAGCCACCCTGCTGCTGGCCTTGCTTGGAGGGCACCTGGCCTGAGGTCCTCCACAGGCAGCTGCAGCCCTGCCCGGGACACATCCCTGGCACCAGACCTGCTGTGTGTGGCCTGGTCTGTGCTCCCCAGAGATCCCACCCCACTCCTGGCTTCAGCCTTCCACGACTGGCAGGATGGGAGGGTCTTATCCCAGAGGGCAGATCAAGTTCTGGGACTGGGCCCTTGGGTTGCCCTGGCATCCCTGGGGTTAGGGGTCACTGCCTCTCTGGCACTTGCAGTGAAGCCACACTGAGCATCTGCTGACTCCCTCAGAAAAGCACACCTGAAACCCATGGGCAACTCACTGCCAAAGCAGATGCCCAGGTAGCAGCTGGCTTTCCCTCTCCCTCAGCACCACAGGACCCCAGTGGCCTTGCTGGTCTTCCGCAAGGGGCAGGAAGTGCATCTGGGTGGTGACGGCCACTGCATGCAGCAGCAGAGCCCACAGGTCTCCAGCATGGCCAGAGCAGGCTGACTTGGGCTCCATGATTACACCCTTGGGTTTCAGCTGCTCCAAAAGTTGGGCCGAGATCACTGGAGCCAGGGAACCTTGGCTGGAACCAAGAAAGTGCCTTCCCTCTCCACAGCTGCTGAGCAGACACAGGGTGCACCTGGTCCTGGGCCCAGAGTTCTAGGGCCAGCTCCATACCTAGGGTTGTGCAGGAGGGCACTGCCCAGCCCTGCACTCACCTGCCAGGTCACCTGCCTGCTGGATTCCCAGTTGCACGTGAGGTGACAGGCAGGTGGCTTGAAGCCCACCCAGGAAGGTACCGGATCTGCCAGGAGGCCTGTGGAATAACTTGGAGGCCACGCTTTGCTTAGTCCCTCTTCTGTGGCAACTGGACCACTGAACGGAATCTCTTCATCTCCTGGGCTACCACATGGGTGGCCACCAGCTTGTTCTGCCCACTTGCCTTTGCAAAGAGGTCCGAGTATATCTTTTTACTGGACTTCGGTGGGCATCAGGGACACCATTAACCAAGACAGACTTTTCCACCGGCTCCCAACTCGTGCACCAGGGTCACCCCCTGGGCACCACCAACCCTGCACATCTTCACCCAAGGCCTCTCCTATCAGGGTCCCCAGGCTCTGCTTCCTTGAGACAAACCCAGTTTTCCCACTGCCACCTTGAGACAAACCCAGTTTTCCCACTGCCACCTTGCTTGTGCCAGGTTGCCTCGCCCACCTGTCCTGGGCAGTGAGCCACCTAGTGGTGCCCATCCCTCTCCGGGGACTTCCGCCCTCTGCAGTGCAGCATGATATGATGGGCCGACCTACAGCTTGGTGTTCAAGTGGAAGAAGGAGGGTGGTGCGTAGGTTGTGCCAGGTGGCATGTGCCAGGTTGGTGAAGCCGGGCCAAGTGTGTGGCGAAGGGCACTGTCAAAGGATGCCGGGGGGAAGTGCATCAGGCCAGCGGCCACGGGTGAGTGGCTGGCAGTGGCCAGGAAGTGGGCCGGGAAGGCCGGGATGACCAGGGGGCTGAAGGGCAGCGCAGCCTGGCCCTTGAGCGGGTCTGGGGTGCCGGCGAAGCTGAGCGGGCAGCGCAGCATGGTGCCCCTGTAGGCCTCTGCTGGGGCCGGCCCCAGGGCCAGCCCCAGGGGCAGGCAGGAGACAGCCATGCTGGGTGCCACGGGTTTGGGCCCACACTCTTTGGTGTCCGCCTCCTTCAGGAAAGGAGACACTGCCCGTAGTTTTTTGCCACCATGAGCAAAGCCCTCGCTATCCAGGCTGCGCTTGTTGCCCAGGCTGGGGCTGCTGGGGACAGTGGGCAGTGGCACAGGGCTGTGGGCAGGGACTTTGGCCATAGGGGTCACCCAGCAGGCTTTGGGCTTAGGGTAGAAGCCGCTCTTTCTGGAGCTGCCTTTGTGGAAGGCAGAGGGGCGGCTGGCATCCCCGCCCCACACCAGCTGGGGCTCCTTGGCCGAAAGCCCCTCTCCTTTGCCTGGGGGCCCCAGCAGCACCCTGTCTTTAAGGTTAGAGAAGAAGTCCCGGGGGTGCTGGCTGATAGGTCTCAGCACCTCCGTGGGGCAGCTGTGGAAAGAACCCATGAAGACGGGGGGTGCGGGGCAGGGGCCCCCTGAAGCCTCCGTCCGCAGGCCACCTCCCAGCGTGTGCAACTCCTCCGGTGGAGCCAGCTGGCGCCCAGAGTGTTCGGCCAGCCCCCTCAGGTTCTGGGAACTCTCTGGGAGTTCCCTTTCAGGGGCCTCTGCCCCGTGCCGACAGCCCTCCTCCTGGCACTGCAAGGCCTCTGCCTTGCTGACCTGAGCCAACAACTTCTTTTTGGCCAGAGGTGACATGACACCATGTGTCTCTTTGCAGTAGAAGGTGGACAGCAGCCTCTTGTAGGCCTCCGGGCAGACACCAGCACCCACAAAGGGCAAGGAGGACCCTGCAGCTGGGCCCAGCCGCTCCGTGCTGTGCCTGGGGGGCTCTTGGCTGGGAAGCGGAGCCAGCTCGGTGGCATCCGTTTTGGTCTTTCCTGGTGTCACCTGGAAGGAGGAAAGGCCAGGCCTCAGGACTGGGGCTGGGCTAGGCATCCTCCCTGGGGACCCAGGGATGGCACAGTCTCGGGGCTACACAGGGCCCCAGTGAGCTCCAGTGCTGTGAGTGGACCCAGGATCAGGATGTGGGGCCTGGTCGGTAGAGTCTATGTGTGGCACCATTCATGGGGACCCATGTCCCTACCTCAGCCCGGATGCAGTTCTGGGGCCCAAGCTGGGAGATCTCCAGCCACAGTCAGGCCGGGAGGAGCTGCAGGGACGGGGTTAGGGGACAGGAGCCAGGATGCTCAGCGCTCACCTGTGCCACCTGCCTCTCCTCCTTGGGCTTCTTTGCCCGCTCAGTGGCCCCGTCGTCCCCCCGAGGCTCCTTGGCCATCTTGTACTGCTTTCTGGGCTTGGAGGGGGGCAGCGGCTTGTCATCCTCCCCCTTCAGGTGCCGCACATACGGGAGCACCAGCCTGCAGAGGAGCCGGGCACGTCCACCAGGAGCCAGGGCCGCTCTGCCCCATCGGCCCACCCGATACCCCACCTCTGCTGCCAACAGGAACCTCTCTTCCTATGGTGCACACAGCCACCTGACTGCCCCTTATCTTCCGTATACCTCCGGGCCCTGGAGGGGCTGCTGCAGGCCAGGCGCAGGGGTACCGACTGCCCAGGCTGCCGGTCCAGTCATCCTGCTCCCGCCGCTGGGCACACATAGGGCAGCTGATGGCGTGCTCCAGCCACCCCCAATCCTGATTCTCACCAAAGCACAGAGGGAAAGCCCAGGGGTCTCAACCCAGTGGCACCGTGGCACCTGGTCCCCTCCCACCTCTCGTAGTGGCGCCGTGTGCACGTGGCCGCACTCGTGCTGCCCGGGCTGCCCCCCAGCTCGTCGTACACATTCTTCCAGAGGCGGCGACCAGTCACCTGCAAAGGCGGCTGGTGAGGCCAGGGCCGAAACAGAACTGTGGGTGAAGGTACCCTCCCTCCCCACCTCCCACAGTGCCCCTTGAGGGGCCACCTGGCTGACTGCTGGCCCAAGCAGCTCAGGCGCACCAGCAGGAACAGATGGGCAAGCAGAGAACCTGCTTACAGAGGCAAAGCGCCCACAGCCAGGGCTGGGACCAGGGATCCTGGCTCTGCCTCTTCTGCCTGCAGGCCAAGACGGCCCTGCCACTTGCCTCAATTCCCTGCCTCTCCTGGAGTGCGGTGGGATGTGCCAGGGGAGGTGATGGGCATGGACATGGAGGGGTCTCCCCAGCCAGCTTACCAGCTCATAGGCCCCCAGCTTCTCCACCGCCTTGTAGATCTTCCACAGGTTAACTAGAGGGAGGGGACAGGCCAGAGCAGCAGTCAGTCTCGGTAGTCCCCCACACCCACGCCAGGCCTCACGATGCTAAAGAGCAGGCTGGGCCCAAGTGCGGCTGCCTGAAGCCCACAGAGATGGAATCTGGCTCTGCCTCTACTAGCCCCAGCCTGCAGGGAGGCATCTTGGGACGTCCCTCAGGTGGGCGGCACCTAGGTCCCCCCGGAGTGAGGAGCGGGCCCCGCTGCCCCGTCAGGAAGGGGTCCCCTGCTTGGCCCCCTCTTCCCCCAGGGGCCCTCCCTGCACCCCAGGAACGCACTCTGCTTGAAGCCAAGATGGGGTACCCTCTCGATGGGTGTGTGTCGCTCCTTCATGAACTTGTAGAGGCTGACCAGGAAGGCCTGCTCTTCCTCCCGCTCCCCACCTGCCTCGGGGGAGTCCTGGGGAAAGAAGGGAGGCGTGTGGTTGGGCCTGGGGGCCAGGGCTGAGCATCAGTGTTGGCCACTGGGTGTGTGGGGGAGAGGTGCCAGCCCCTGCCCAGGCTCCCAGAACATCCAACCTCCTGCCCTGGGCTACAGTGACGGTTGCTGGGTCACACAGGCAAGGGTGCCAGGTGCCAGCTGCAGGGGCCCAATGGCCAGGACAGGGCCCAGAGCCCAAGGCCACATCTCCAGGGCCCCAGGCATCCCTGCCCTCACTGGGTGGGGATCGTGTCTATCTTGCTCTGAATTTGTTCTGTCTTCGACTTGGCTGCTCTACCAGTTCCTGGGAGGTGCGCTCAATATCCCCAGGCCCCCAGGGTAAAAGCAGGTGCTCTGTGCTTCTGGGCACCATGGGGCCACTCTCCCAGGCAGTGTCCACCCAGCCTTGGCCACTGCTGCTGGATTGATGAGTATAAACACGGGGCCTCTGCCGGCTCTGCAATCAGTGCCAGGTCATCTTCGTTTAAGAGTTGGGTCTACTACTTAATCTATGTTTGAAGCCCACTGTCCAGTGCCCAGCTCTTGCACCTTCCAAGCAGGCCACGGGTGCCCTATGGGGTCAGGGACAGATATGTGTCTCCCTCTAAGAGTTTGCCGGGGCTGTGAGTCCCCTGGAGGCTGTGCTCGGGCTGAGGGTGGCAGGGACAAGGTCCTGGGCGTCACTGGACTTACCTCTAGCTGGATGGGGCTCTGGCTCCTGCTCTGCTCACCATCAGGATTGGGGGACGCAGGGGCATCTAGGGGGTCACCCTCCTCAGACGGCTTCCTTTTTCCTCTGATAGGGGGTGCTGCTGGGAGAGAGGGAAGGACAAAAGGGGAGAGGGCATGTGAGACTCGGGTAGGGGAGCAGATAGAGAGAACCCATCCTGCCGTCCTGGCTGCGGTCTGCCAGCGTGGTGTGTGTGTGTCCTCTGCCTGCCCTTGGTGGTGTGTCCAGACCACACACGTATGTACACTTGTGCATACTCTCGGGGCTCACCCTGGCCCTCAGCCCCCTTCCTCTCCCCTCCTTGGCCCTCTCCACTCTACCCCTCCCATCCCAGCCCTCTCATCCCCAAAGGAACTGCTAAATCTCAGGACAAGTCCAGGGCTGGACAGGGCTGAGTCTCCAAAACCTCCCCTGTCCACCTGGAGGGTCCTGCAAAGGCTTCCAAGTCTGTGGCCCCAGACACCCAGCTGTCTACACCATCTCCTGCAGGAATTATCCAGCAGGGACCCTGTGTCCATCGCAGGGACTCCTGGCCTTTCCTTGAGCATGTGCAATGCTCAGCCACGGCTGCCTATGCCTTGTGCTGCCCTCCAGGACATGACTTGTGAGGGACCCTGGTCCAGTCCTTGGTGGCCCCTGGCTTCCCGCTCCTGTCCCACTGACCTCAACGTCTCAGCATCACCCTAACTGAGGTGCCATTGCTTGTCCACCTCTGAGCCCTCAGTGAGGCCTCCAGGCCCCATGACAGGAGCCAGGGAAGCAGGGAGGGCTGAGGCCCCTGAGGGGCCCGGGCTGCGCTCCCAAAGGCGGCCTCGTGCCAATCTGCAAAAACTGCACTCCAGCCATGGCAGAGACACACCGCAGGCTGCCAGTGCCCCGGGCACCGGGAAGCCACACCTCGTGACAACCTTCCTGCCGGCCTTCTTTCTGCTCCATCTGGCTTGCTGGAAACTTGCAAAACGTTACCTCCATCCCAGCGTCTCCCTTGGAACCACAAACGTCAACCAACCCAGCAGCCAGTGTTAGAATTGGGCCACCAAGCAGCCTCCATCTGACAGCTGACCCCAGAGGTGCAGAACAGCTGCAGGTGCTCACGCGTGTCCCACGTGACTCCTCGGTCAGTGTCCCTGCCTCCCCCCCCCTCTTGTACAGTCACAGGAGGGGTTATTTTGTTTTTTCAGACAGGGTCCCACTATGTGGTCCAAGTTGGCTTTGAACTCATTATGCAGCCCAGGCTGGCCTTGAACTCACAGTGATCCTCCTGCCTCAGCCTCCTGAGTGCTGGGATTATAGGTGAGACCACCACACCAGCTGGAAATGAGACTCCTGAGTTTTTTGCTAACTCTCCATCGTCAGCCTTCTCTTCCCTCTCTGCTCTCCCACCCCTAACCCACACTGTACCCCACAGACCCCTGCGCCACAGATCCTGGGTCTTTCTGAGTGGGACTTGGGCTTCTCCATGCTTCCTTCCTGCACATCACTCTCCCTGGGGTTCAGAGAGAGGAGGCTCAACCAAGCAGTGTCACAAGTCCCAGCTGCTGGGGAAGCTGAGGCAAGAGGGTTGCTTGAGCCTACAAGTTTGAGGCCAGCCTGGGTGACATACCGAGATCCTTACTTGGGCTCAAAACAGAACAAAAGTCGGGTGACTGGGCCAGATCCCTGGGAGAACATTTTAAAGACCCTGATGCTCAAGGTCTTGCTTGGGACGCTGGAACTGAAAGCTCCCCAGGGTAAATAGGCTGGGTAGGCACCTCTGTTCCTTCCTGGTTCGGTTCTAGGACTCTAGCTCTCTGCCTGGGCTGCTGAGCACAGGGAAAAATCACCTGGCGACAGGCACTCGGGTTACCTGGAAAGGAGGTCATCAGCCGGAGCTTGTCAGCCCCAGCTGGGGCAGGGACCGGGGCCGCACAGGGAGGCACTCTCCTCTCCTGTCCTGCAGAGTCCCCAGATGAACCTGGTCCTGTCCTCCGCATGCAGAGCTGGTGAGCTCTGTCCTGGCAGGGCCTGGGCTGGGGACCCAGGAGGGTCCTCTCCTCACTTCTCCACAGTGCCCTCCATCCCGTCCCTGGCAGCCCTCATTTCTCCTTCCCCAACCTGGGGGCCAGACCCAGGTTCCATTTATAAATCCAGGTTATCCTGAGTTGTAAAAAGGCTTCTGCTATGAAAAATAATTTCGAGTCCCACTGCCATGTGTCTGTACTGGTCCTCCAGTCTCCCCTAATCCCTCCCTCCCTGACCATTTATCAATCTAGGTTCCATATCCTGGCCCCACTATAGATCCAACTAATTTCTACAAAGGGTCCTGGCCAGGAGTGATGGCACATTCATGTAATCCTGGCACTCAGGAGGCTGAGGCAGGAGGATCACTGCGAGCCTGAGGCCAGCCTGGGCTACACAGTGAGTTCCCACCCAGCTAAACTACACAGCAAGTGCTCTGCACAAGAACGCCATCAGACATGACTTCTCCCATGGGGGACACCAGCCGCAGAGGGACTGACACTGCACTGTTTACCCAGAACACATCAGGAATCTCCTCTGCCATGGTTCCCGTTGGCTGTGGTCCTCACGGATGCCCTCCCTGTCGTAGATGCCAGCATCTGCATACTCAGTTTTAATTTTGGGTGGCTTTGTGCAACAGTTGGCTCTTGGGTGTGTGGCCTCCCAATTTCACTCTTACTACATGCCCATCTGAACTGGTGGGGAACTGGGTTACCTTCCTTGAAAAAAGCGCCCGTCAGGTTTTGATTGGATGGCAGGTAACTTCAGAAGCTACTCTGAGGAGAAACAACCGCTTTGCGACTCCACCTCTTTCTTTGCAGGACCACAGGTCCCCATGGACTCTGCCCAGTCCCCTTGGTCCCCTCGGCAGCTGGGGTCCCCTCCCGAGGCCTCCGCACTGCTCCTGCCTAGGACCCCGTAGCCGCTGTCTAAGTCACAGCTGGTAAGGGGTCAGAGGAGCCCAGATTGCGAAGGCAGGACCTCCCTCCGTGTCCTCATATCACTGGCCTGGCGGTCACAACCCCAGGGGAGGAGCCCAGGCTCTGGACCCACTCCTGGGCGAGGCGGGGAGCTGGGGTGGTGCTACCATGGCCCCTCCTGGATTATGAATCTGGTCTCTCTAGAGAGTGCATCTCAGTGACAGCAGGGTCACTGGCTCATTCTGATGCCCCACCAAAGCCGCCCAAAGCCACCGCGTTCTCAGCCATTCCAAATTCCCTTTCCCTGCCACGTGCTCCACCTCCCCACATCAGTGCCCCGGCCACTGCCAGACAGGTATCTTGCTTTTTTAAAAATTTAAATTTTTGGGCTGGGGATTTAGCTCAGCGGCATAAGCGCCTGCCTTGCAAGCAGGCAGTCGTGAGTTCAATCCCCGAGCCTGATAAAAAGGAAAAAGACAAATAAATAAATAAATTTTTACAAATCCATGTTTACAAGACAGAAAGATTCCACTCTCATGGGGAGTCAGCAGAAGGACACCACACTTCACTCTGTGTCCCCTTCCCTCTTCCCCTCTGCCTCCTCCTTCCATCTCTTGGTCCTCTTCCTTTTAAGAAAAATCTACCTCTCTGCTTCCTATTATCTATTTTTTATTTTGATCTTTTTTATCCTTTGGGTTTCTTATATAAGAGAAACCTTGTGATATTTAAGCTGCCTATCTGATTTATTTCACTTAACACTGTGGCCTCAAGGTGCCTCCATTTCCCTACAAATGACTCGATTTATCCTTTTTCATAGCAGAGTAGTACTCTACCTTGTATGTGCCTTACCCAATCTTCCCAGCCATCTAACAGCCGAGAGGCTCAGAGAGGTTAAGTAACCTGCCTGAAGTCACAACTTCCCAGTGACAGAGCTAGGATTCAGAACTGGAGAGGTCTGACTGCCCAAGGCCCTGAATCCTAGGGATTCAGAGGGATTTTTGTTTTGTTTTATAAACAGGAAGACTCTGGTCTGTGCTGAGAGGGTAAAAACATGCCCACTTTCCCCTAGTGGATCAACTCAATGGACAGGAGTTGGTTGGTGTGGGCTGTTGGTCAGCCAGGCCCCACACTGCAGGCTGGAGCGAGGGTTCTGACCCTTGTCCCCTGTGAATTGATTTCCCTGACCTTGGTGGCCCCATCTTTGAATAAGGGCACTGTTGCCCTAATCTTGAGGGAGGAAGAAAAACACTATTTAGATTCCTTTCAGAGCTTCCACCTGCTGCCCAGTGGAGGGGTGGGCCCAGCCCCAGCCCACCAGGGCCAGGGCTTCCAAGACAGGAGCCACAGACCCAGCAGGGCAGGGGGAGCTGGAGGCTGCCTCGGCTGGGGCAGGCGTCACACGGTGCATCTTTCACCAGCTCAGTCACCGCTCCTGCTCCTCAGCCTTTCCGGACTCAGTGGGCAGCATTTTCAGCAAACAGGTCAGTGTATGTGCCAAGGCGTGCCTCATCGGTCACCTGCCTGTCCTGCCCACAACCTCCACAGCACTGCGCTGCCCCTTGAGGGCTTCCCAGCCTCACTGTGTGGCACCAGCACACTCCTCTCCGCCCCTCGCCGGCCCCACTAACCCTTGGTACAGGGGAAAGGAAGTGACACTTCCTTTCATGAAAAGTCACCAACCAAGAACACTGCCGCAATTACATGACAATAGCACTGAGCGCACAGCCCCACCCCCTCGGCCCAGGTTGTGGGCTTAAATTTCTCTGAGCCCAAACAATGACAGCCTTTGAGGTGGCCGGTCCACTCCATGGCTCTGGAGCCAGCTGCCCGCAGAGTCCAGTTGTGGAGCTTGCACAGCGATGAGGGGAAACCTTTCGGGACATGCCAAGGGCCAGCGCTCTGGACGGGGCGAGGGAGCCCATCGCAGCACCTCCCTGGGGAGGGGAGAGGGCCAGGATAGGGCAGCCTGCCAGCTCCCAAGGCCCACTGTGGCTTCCTGCTCTTTACCAGCTCTGACGTCCCGAAAGATCCCATCCCAGGATGGGATGGGGTGGTGAGAGCAGCAATCCGGGAGTTGGTAAGGGACTCTGGCACGATGTCGCCCCACAGCAGAGGCACTGCCACACCTTCCCTACCTTTCCTCTCTGCCCCTGCTCCCAACCAACCCCATGTGGCTCTCCAAGCTAGACCGTGCCCCGGGTCTACCTAGAAGGGAGGTGAGGACCTCCAGGCCAGGCACCCGGTGCCCCACCCTGGGAAACAGGAGGCCACAATGAAGAGACAGGGGCCCGGAGTCTTGGAGCCCCATTCCTCACCCCCTGCCAGACCAGAGCTGCTCTCTATGCCTCAGTTTATCTGACTGTAAATCAAAGCTGGAGGCCTCCTTCTAAGACCATTTCTACCTCTGTCACATCAAGTTCCAGGTCGGGATTGGACACTGCACCATGCCACCTGCGGGCACAGAGCCTCCCACAGGTGTGGCTGTTCCAAGGTGAGGGTGAGCAGAGAAACACCCATTACCCTCCACTGAGTCCCAGGCCTCTCCTTGCTGCCCAAGACTCCGGGCAAACCAGGAGACCTGGGCCGGATCGGAGTAAAAACTGGGGACCCCGACCCTTCCTGGGACACTGCATGGGTCGGGGGTGCGCGCCCGGGTTGCATCCCCGGCCGGGCTCCATCCCCGGCCGGGCTCCCTGCGAGACCGAACTCCTTTCCTTCTCGGCGCCCACAATCTGCACTCGACCCTGCTCCCCTTCGCGCCTCGGGAGGCCCGAGAAGACCCCCAACCCTTCCGGGCCCCGGGAGGGAAAGGAAAGGGAAAGAAAGGCAGAAGAAAGGGGCGCAGGGGGGAAAACGGGCCGGGGAGGCGGGCTGCAGAAGAAAAGCGGAGGAGGAGAGAAGCGAAAAAGGGAAGAGAGAAGAGAAAGAGCCCGGTAGGGGCCGGGAGCGCGCGGGGGGCTCGGCCGGGCCGAAAGCGGAACCGTGGATTCTTCAAAGCCCCCGGGCGACTTCTCCGCCCCGCGCGGCCGCTTTCGGGAAACGGCGGCGGCGTGGAAAGCGCCCCGCGCGCGGCGCCCCCTCTCGGTTCTCAGAAGCGCGGGGCTGTCACGGGGGAGGCGGCCGGGGCCCGGAGGCTGCTGTCACAGCCGTCACAACAAATTCGCTGAGCCCAGCTCGAGATTGAAACCGCAGCAGGAAGTGGGATGACAGCGCGCGCGGGCTCGGACGGAGGAGAGTTTCGAGATAAGCGCCCGGGAAGCCCCTGGCCGCCCCAAACTTTCTGTCTTTCCTTTTTTTTTTTTTTTCTTGAAGCTTGCCCGCAGACATCCAGGCCTTACCCTCCCGCGTCTCCCGTGAGGGTCCGGGGTCGTTCCGGGCGCCCCCGCTAACTCCGAGCCCTCCCCGGCCCGCCTCAATTTCCCCCAAAGCCGCACCCACGGCCGTGCGCGGGATCCCGGCGCCTTGTCCTTCGTCCTCCCCGCGGGGCCGCCCAGCCCTGCCCCGAGCAGCCCAGTCGCTCACCCATGGCCCGCGAGATCCCGCGTCGCCCGCCCGAGGACCCTCCACGCGCACAACTCCCGGGCTCCGCGCTCTTGGCGCGACTGGCTCCCAGCGCCGCTCGCCGGCCACCTCCCCGCGGCCCCGCCCCGCCAGGGCCCCGCCCAGGCCCGCTCTGGGCTCTCATTGGCTAGTCCAGTTCTTTATAGCCGGCGAGGTCCACCCCTTAGACCCAAGGAAGTCTGGGAGTTGTAGTTGAGCGTTCCCTTCCACTGGTTTAGACTGGGACTCTAATCCAGCCATCTCACCTAAAGTGGCTGAAGTACGACACCCAGGGGTCATTGCTGCCCTAAATCTCAATTTCCTAGAGGCAAAAATAGAGTCTTGCAAAAAAAAAAAAAAAGTCCATGTACTGAGGGTGGCGTGTGGTGGAGCAAAGCACTTGTGACTTAGACCTGAAGTAGCCCTGGGCATTTCCCAGCCATCAACCTAGGAGCCGAGGGATTAGTGTTACCCTCACAGGGACTAAACTAGCAAGCCTGGGCCTAAGCTCTGCTCTGCAGGGTTCCAGAAAGGCCTGATGTCCCAGGTCTGCCCTTGGTGGCCAATATTCAAAATATCATCACAGAGTAGCTGCTACAAACTGAGCAATGCAAAGCGCCCAGCTGAGGAAGAAGAGGGTGAGTACAGGCAGGAGGAGGTCCCCAGGCAGCCATGGAGGTCACAGAGGAGACCGAGCCTTGGCATTTAACAGCATTATGTCTCACGGTGTGGCTACCTATGATTTGACTTGAACTGTGTTCCCAGCACACAGCAGGTACACAAAAACTGTGCCAAGGGATTTAATACCCACAGTGGCTCTGTGCACTGCACAGTATTGTGATTCATCTTTGTAGGGTACAACTGAGGTTTGAGAGGTCCATGAGCTCAGGTAATCCAGCTGGTAAGAGGCAGAGCTGCAGCTAAACCCAGGCACCGAGGCTCGGTAGAGGAGTCCCGGTACCTGGAACCCACCCACCTGTGGGCCCCTGTCACCAGGCTGCTGCTGGGTGGCCTTGCCTAACACATGGGCCCTTGCCCTTTGGCCCTCGAAGAGCAGCTGCTTCCCACTCACCTGGGGCTGACAGCTCGTAGGTGGTTTTGTCAGAGCCACGCTCTGCAGGTTGGGCAACAGCCTTCTCATTATCGATATGTAAAAATGCCCAGTGATTGCACTCGAGCCTCCCCTTCCAGGATTACAAACCACTGTCCCCACAGGACAGCTGAGGCTGTGGCAGGGACACTATGATGGACAACCAGCAGGAAGCCGAACCTTCTTCTAGTCCCACTTATCCACTCTGTAAGGACTGATGGTGCCACACGTTGTGCCCAAAGTTGGGCATGGAAACTTGGATGCTGCCCTCAGGGTCCCAGTCTAGTCCAGTGGTGCCGAATTTATGGCACATGTACCACAGGGGGCACACAGAGTCCACCTGTCATCACGCCAGCCACAATACCCCAGCATCGCCCCAGCAGCCGAATATTTGGGCTTAATTGCACTATTGGTACTTTATGATAAAAATGTGGATTTAGGTTGCAGTTTGTTTTTTGTGTTGTTTTGTTTTGTTTTTTTTGGTACCAGGGATTGAACTCATGACCCTCACACTTGCCAGACAAGTGCTTATACCACTGAGCTAAATCCCTGGCCTCGGTTGCAGTTTGGACACTCAGTTTCTAAAAAGTCTAGGCCAACCCCTATCCGCCATCTGCTGGAATGGATGTTCCCTCTGATGCAGAGCTCACTACCTTTCGAAGCAGTAGCTCATCCCATCTCAGAACAGGGATATCCTGCCATCCAGGCAGCCACCATGCTCTTAAAGGCAGGGGCTATTGTGCAAAACCTCAGCAAGTTAACACCTGCCCAGCCTTCTTGGGAATAATATGATCTAAATTTAATTGCCTCCCCAGGTGACTGCTTACAATAGAAAGTAATTTACCATGGCTAAAAAATCCCGCAGAGAAAGGGTATCTCCATTTGCCTTGCTCAAAGTATTAAGTGAGTGCTCAAGAATCTGTCTCACATGCTTCCACCCCCTCCTGCAGTCACAGGATCCCAGCTCAGGGTGGTCCGGGGACTTATCTGTTCTCTAGTGTCATGGTGGGTGTCCCTCCAGAAGAAAGGCAAACCAGGAATAAAGACATTCTCCTGGGAGAAAACATCAGGAATAAATCGGTTCTCTTGGCACTACCCCAATCCAGTTCTCTCTGTTCCCCATGATCAGATTAGAGGAACTGCTGCCTCTGTATTGTCACAAACACAGGTGTCCTTGGTAAAGTCATACGCGTAGGTGGATTTTACGTGTGTCTGTAAGTAGATGTGATCCAGTTCTGATTGTTCCTTTCCACAGCTCACTGTTTCAGTCAACCACAGGCCTTAGAGAGCTTTCCAGTAGCACAGCGATCGACTTCTCTTGTGTAACTTCCGGATCGACTACCTTCTCATGGACGTACATGATTTCTTTATTTGAGCTCCTCTTAATGGCCCTTAATATTTTTTTCCAGTTCCAGGAATCCTGCTGAGGACACTCTAGCTCCTAAGTGTTCCCAGGGACTGAGTCACAGCTGCCTTCTCACACCTCTCGTTGGCCCTTCTAGAAGAGGGAACCGGTGGGGTAGAGGGGTGGTTACTGAGACCATTCAAGATCACTTGGCTTTCAGGCCTGGAGAGGTTAAGTGAGTTGCACAAGGTCACACAGCAAAATCAAAGCTGTTACTTCTTCTGGGACATGCTGAGATATTCAGTGCGCTCAGAAAACAGAACACACAGCCAATTTTCTGCCCCTGAGAAGCTCTGTTCCCAGGCTCAGCAGTTGCACAAGGCCCCTGGGGGCCTCATTTTCAAAGAAAAAGCAAATTGGGAAGTATTTTTAATGCTGGCCCTGCCCAGCTGCCTGTGCTGGCTATCCAGGAAAGGCCTGCTTCGCAGTGTCACTGGCAACTCGTGGAAAACAACAAACGCTGGAAATAGATGATACCCAAGTCCAGAAATGGAAAAAATTGGCTCATGGTTTCAAATGCCTCTTTTAGAAAAAGACAAGAATAGCTTCTGGCCTTTGGGGAAGGGCTGGGGATGGGAGTAGGGCGGGAGTGATGCCAGCAGGGATGGAGCCCGGGTCGGACCCCTCTCTTCCTGCCTGATGGCACTGTGCTCAGTGTCCCCAGGGTAAGCGAGAGCCAGCTCCTTGACTGTCCACGGAGAGCCAGGACCATACCTACTGCAGGTTCCCCCCACTCACTCTGCCTTCCTGCAGACTCAAGACGGGCTTCTTCGTTGGCTGGAGGCTGGGCTGGGGCCACCTCCCAGACCCGCACTTCACGGCCAAGACTCAGCAGAGTGAAGACCTCAGCTTCTGAAGTTCTAGAGCCTGAAGAGTGAAAGTCCGACTCTCCTGGGAATGGCAGGGCCAGGAGAGAAAATTAGGGTTCATACACACACACACACACACACACACACACACACACACACACACACTGTTAGGCTGTGTGGCCTGGAGCAACGCGTTCAACCTCTCTGAGCCACAGGTGCCTCCTCTGGAAAGCAGGGATAACCCTTCATTTATGCACACATTCATTCATCCAACATGTGTCATGGGGTCCTACTGTGTGCCAGCACGGAGCTAGAAGGAGACCTCGCCACGGCGAGAGCAAAATCCCTAAGCTTGTGAAGCAGAAATGCAGCCCTTGGCAATCCCAGGCTGAGCAAAGGTCTGGTGTTAGAATGTTCAGAAACATCTTTGACCAGGATTTCTCCTCAGACACTGCACCAGCATATTACTTGGCCCATTTGTGTGTGTGTGTGTGTGTGTGTGTGTGTGCCAGAGACTGAACCCAGGGCCTTCATGCTGAGCTGCACCTACAGCCCTTTTTAAACTTTTACATTTTGCCTTGGGATTTAGTTCAGTGGCTTAAGTGCCTGCCTAGCAAGTGTGAGGTCATAAAAAAAACTTACATTTTGAGACAAGGTTTCACTAACTTACTAAATTGCCCAAGCTGTGAATAAACTTGCCACCCCCCTGCCTCAGTTTCCCAGACTGCTGGGACCACAAGTGTTCACCACCATGCACAGCCGTAGTGTCACCCCAAGCCCTATAAAGTGGACACTGTGGTCCTCAGAGCGTCTAGTGACATAGAGGAACAGAGAATAAATTCTGTGCATAAGTTTCTAGACTCAGCCACAAATAGGAAGGAAGAAGGACTGTATGCTGGGTCTCGGGATCAGGGTGATGACAGTCTGATTCTTTGTGTCAGGCTGTGTCACAAGAGGTAAATCTAGACTGAGGTCCATACAAAATGCATTGGGCAGCGAGTGTGGCGGCTCACGCCTGTAATCCAGCGCTCAGGAGGCTGAGGCAGGATGATTGTCATAAGTTCAAGATCAGCCTGGGCTACAGAGCAAGCTCAAGACCAGCCTGAAGTGCATAACTACATAGGGAGACCTTACCTCAAAAATGAAAAAAATGCACTGGGCACAGACTTCATAATCAAAAAGGACCTGTGTATCCCTCACTTAAGATCTCCGCTGGTCCGCAACCCTATGTTCTGTGACTGTCCCTCCCATTTGATGGATGGGTAAACTGATGTATGTAGTAGGTGTGTGACTTTGGCCTGCTAGGCATAGGTGGGGGGGAGGGGCTCTAAATGGGGGGAGCAACAGGGGCCCGAGGAGAACTACATCTCCCAGGATGCAGAGCGAGGGCGGGGCCTCACACAGCCAGCGTGTAATTTCTTGGCATTTAAAAAAAAAAGCGCGGGGGGAGGGGTGCGCGGGAGCAAAAGTAAAGAGAGAAAGTATCAAAGCCTCAAGCGTCACATCTAGGAATAGCCTCGGAGATGGGCCAAGTCATTATAGACGATGAGTAATCCGGTTAAGTCATTTCTCTAAACACCATTCCTTGTAAGAGAATTAAAATATCAGCTTACATCAGAGTGGGGGGAGGCGGCTCTGGGGGCCGGCGAGTGGCTGCGCTGGATGCCAGGAGCTGTGGCTGGATGCCAAGGCGCTGCCAGCTGTGCCTGGGACAGCGAGGGGCGGGGGAGCAGCAGGCCTCAGTTTACCCCCCTGCAACGGAGTTTGGGGCTGCTTCCTCTCCGTGGAGTCACGTCTTTGG